TAGCCCCCCTCCCCCAAAAAAAATCAGGAAAAGAAAAACCCAATGCTCACAGCAAAGGCAATGGAATGTGACTAGATAGAAGGATTCATCTAAGAATTTGAACCAGATTTCTCACAATTTTGATTCATTTCTCATGTACTTGGTTAATAATAATATAACTACTCAGAATTAAATTCCTTCCTTTACCCCAATCCTAACTGCTGGCCATCACACATTTCCAATCCCAATCTGAAGGCAGGAAAAAAAGACAATGTCCCAGCAGGAAAGCTGTCCAGCAGAAATTCCCCCTTAATCAAAGGAGGACTAGAACTTTTGTCTATTCAGGCCTTCAACTGACTGGAGGCGGCTCACCCACACTGGGGAAGGCAAAATGCTTTACTCAATTTCTTTAAGACACAATTTCACTATGTTGCCAAGGCTGGACTCAAACAATTGGGCTCAAGCATTCTTCTCACCTTGATAAAATGGGATTACAGGTGCACAACACCACACACAACTAATTCAAATTTTCATCTCATCTAGAAACATCCTAACAGACAAACCCAGAATTTATAATCAAAATGTCTGGTCACCCCATGGCCAGTCAAGTTGGCACATAAGCATTATCACAATACTCAACTATCAAGAAAACTGCAGGAAAAAATCTAAATTGCACAAAGATATAGAAAAGGACCAGAAATACCTATTTTCATCCCATGAATTTCTTTTTCTCAAATATCAGCCTGAGGAAATGATGAAGTTTTTTCACTGCTGATTCCTCTGACAATTATCTTTGAGAACAAAGATCAATTTTTGTATAAAGGCTTCTCTCCTCATGGTAAGTATTGGTTTAGGAGCAGGGAAACTAAATGTGTTCAGCAATCTGTGCTAAGCATTCTAATAAAATAATGGAGCTCCTTTTACAAAACTTACTTTGGTGGATTAAAAATGACTACAACTTGGACAGGGGATATAGCTCAGTTAGAAGAATGTTTGCCTAGCATGCTCAAAGCCCTGGGTTTGATCCCCAGCACCACAAATAATAATTATAAAATAATAACAACAACAACTTGTTTATACAGCACCCTTTATTAACAGTTGTATTTTCTATCTCCTTAAATCTGGACTTTGTTGTTCTGACCAACAGAGAGGCAGAAGTGATGTTGCTCTGGACATTTCTCTTAAAGGTCTGGCAGTTTCTGCTTTCTCCCTTGAAGCACTTAGCCACCACTGTGTAAATAGGTCTAGTTATCCCTTGCTAGAGAGATGACATTGAAATGCCCAGCAAATCATCAGCTGTTTCTACAATCCCAGCCCAAGCATTAGGTATGTAAGGGAGGCCATACTGGGGCATTCTATTCCAGTAGAATTCCCTAGCTGAATGTAGGTAGCTACATGAGCAACGCTAGTCTTACTATAGTGAGAGATGAGCTATGTCCACCCAGTCCTGCACAAATTGCATGTATGTGAGCAAATAAATTTTTTTAAGGCAACTAAGTTTTGCAGTTGTTACAAAATAGGTAACAGATACACTTACTTGGGGAACACCTGATCCCTATACACCAAATAAGCCTTTTGTTTTCTAGTATAGTCTTGTCATGTTGGCTTCTCATAGGCTCTTAGTTTAGGAAAACAGTATAGTATTTGAAATGTACAATCATTTGTAAACTCTTGAATTCTCAATAATGCCATCCTAGTATATTTTGCATGGGAAAATTGAGCACATTCTATTTCCAGACATTTAGGCATTTGGTTATCTCCCAAGGGCACAAGAAACCATGTTTATCTGGTATGGAACTATGATTCATATGTAATTCAGAGCCTTGGGAAGTGCTGAGGCCAGTCTGCTAGAATTTTTGCCTACAGAAAACCAGTTGTCTGAAGCAGAGGGATTAAAAAAGTTACTATTTTAAAAATACATACCCAAATCCTTGGCTGAACCTTCCATCAAATGGTAAAACCTAGTTTACTTCCTCAAGTATACACTGTAGTTAGTGACTTTCACTTCTAATAGAATGGTGCAGAAGTGACAGAGTATAACTTCTGAGTCTGGTCATTTTTAAAAAGGCTTCCTCCTGGCAATCTTTCTGGAAACATTCACTGTGGGAAAACCAGCCATCCTGTCATGAAAACATTCAAGTAACCCTAAGGAGGCCCACATAACAAGTAAATAAGATCTCTTAGCCAAAAACCTGCAAGGGACAGAGGCCGACTAAACAGCTTTGTGAGCAAGCCATCTTAAAAACAGCTTTACCAGACCAGTGCAATCCTTCAGACAGCTGCAGCTCCAACTATCACATTAATTATAACTTCATGAGAGACTCTGAGCTACAGTTTAGTTCCTGTAGCTTGTTCCTGAGTGTCTGTTCCTGAATGCCTGATCCACAGAAACCGATGGTTCAATGTTTAAGCTGCTGGCCTTTGGGTCATCCCTGAACTGGCAGGCTGGAAATGTAAGTACCATGAGTTATGCTTTTTCAAACCTTGGCAGAAACCAAGTTCTTACTTTCTGAATCAGTAATAATCTCTAGAATTTTAAACTCCTAAGAGTTCCCAACCCCCTGACTCCATATCAAGTATTACTACCTAAAGCAAAACTGATATAATAGCAGAGCCCACAATGAAAATCATTTAGTTAACCTAATCCATTCTCTGGTGATGACAAAGGATTCCAGCAATGTGTTTGGGCTAAACAAAACTGCTCCTGGAAGCCCACAGCTTCCATGTGCTCTTAGTGATGACGATCACCTACGAGGGAGCTTACAAGCAGCTAAAATACAACATAAGCAGTTCAGTAATATGTATTTTTTTAAACCTTAATAGACTGGGCACAGTGGCAAATGCCTGTAGTCCCAGCTACCTGAGAGGCTAAGGAAAAAAGATCACAAATTTGAGGCCAGCCTGGGCAACTAAGTGAGAACCTGTCTCAAAAGAAAAAATAAAAAGGACTGGGGATGGATTTGTCGCTGTGGTAAAGCATCCCTCAGAGTTCAATGCCCAGACAAACTCTAATGGTACCAGGTGCCCACATAACAGAGGTTAGTGGAGTGAAAAATTAGAAAAGAACAGGAAATTCTAGATGTTAACTTCTCCATTTAAAAAATAATTTTAGGGAAGAGAGAGTAAATGGTTGCATATCCTATGCCAATTCTGATGCACTGGCAGTAGCTACCTAAATTACAGGAATGAACAATATTGATGGGCAACTGCATATCCTCTTACTGTGATTATGAGAGGAAGAGGAAGAAAAAGCACATAGCTGGAAATCTTTCATCCTAATAGAAAAGAAAAACTCCAACCCCTGAGGTAAGGGCCAAGGAGGATTATTTCTTCTTATTTGGTTATCAGACAGTTATACTCAATACAAGAAAAATGTTAGCACCAAAAATTTGTCTATTGTTCATTACTTTGCAAATGTTACCATCTGTTATCAAAGATGAAAGTATTTGTGTGACGAGGTGAGATAAAGCAAGTATAGGAAGAACTTATATGTATATATACTATGAGCAAACCCTTTCACACTCGTTATCTCATTTAATCCTAAGAGCAATTCTAAAAAGTAGTTCTTATTTCTATTTTGTGGATAAGAAACTTTAGGCTCAGAAAGCTTACATTGTTCAAAGCTGCACAATTCAAAACCCAAATCTGACTAACTCCAAAGTCTATGTTTATTTCGACTATTTATTCCAAAAAAACTCATGTGGCTTATAAATTTATAAAGAATACAGGAGAGAGGAAAGATGGTTCTCAGTATGCCCAATGCCAAAATATAATAACATTTATTTTTCTTACTAAACAATGATTATTTTGAATCTAATTCTTAACTGAAGAAAATGCATAAAACCTGAGAAAATACTTCAACCTTGAAATATCCAATATTAACATGAAATTTTCAATAAATAAAAATATACTGCATTCCCAGAACTTTTGGAAGTTAGAAATTTGATTGTGTTTTCTATAGATTTAAACTTTCCCATTCATGAACATTAATAATGAAATGTCCATGAGAATTTAAATAATTTCAGTGTTAGAAGTACTTACAAATAACATTAATTATAAAAACAAAACTAGTTTTCTCTGTCAGTTGTTATGGTTCGAATGCTAAAGGGCACTGGTAGCTAAGATAAAGTAACCAGAGTAAAAATAAAGTTTCAAATATTAGTTTATCACTTGCAATATTAACAATAATAAAAATAAGGATTTGCTGACAAAAGAATTTTAGTTTTAAAAGAGTTGGACAACTATTATTGAAATGTTTGTTTTGACAAGATGCAGCAAAATATGGAAGACACCAAAACAAAGTACAAAAGTAAAAAGTGTTCATAATCATTTTCTTCCTTATTTATTTCATTACTAATCATGTTTTTCTATAATTAGCAGCAGTAGCTTAATGATCTCCTGTGTTAACAATTCAGGTTTTTACCACAATTACTTGCATTAAATAAATTAAGTATATATATGCTTTATCAGGATTTAAAAGATCAGTAACTATTATAAAATGGGTCAACAGGCAGTTGTGCATCTAGATCTCAAGTAATATTTAAAAATAGAGAAATGTATTTCTGGCTTTTCTTGTGTTTTGGGGAATATTGAGAGGATTCCAAGGTATAAAATTCTTCCCATCTTTCTTATATGTCTTCAATCCCTTGGTACAGACCCAGCATTTGCCAGTGGATCACAGGCTACTTGAAGAATGACAGGAATAACGACAGGCAACTTGCTCCTTTCTTCAATAAGACATCAGACCTGTATCACTCTGTCTCTCACTCTTCCCTTTCTATAAATGTATCTTAATCATCAAGTATACTATAAAAGATAACATTTTTATTCCTATTTCCTAACAATAATCTACATCTTCCATCTGTTGAATCATATTGATACTGACAATTACTACTATGTAACATTTACTAATATAAAAGGGTATAATTGAATACAAACACCAAATTACACAAATATCAATGAGACCACTATTTTTGAATTCAAAGACATATATTGTTTAAAAACTAATTATGAAACACAAAGACAATAGAAATATAAGTTATTTATTAATCAATCCACTTACAAAGCAGGTGGCTTAATGCAAGCTTATTGACATCTTCACATATGATCCATGGGAACATGTCTTCCACATACAGACAGTGATATTACTGACTGGATGCATTTGCAATCTGGGGCATATTAAGCATATTTAAACAAATAAAATTAGGCTATCCTGTATATGAAAAGTATCTCAATAATATGCATCTTGAAGTGGATTAAAATTCCTCCAAAGGAGAAATGTTAGTATGTTAACTTAACTTTATACTCTATATTATGCAGTAAATCTTAACTATAGAAATTAAAAATTTTAAATCAGTGATCGACTCTTGGTAATGTATGAAGTGGGAGTCTATAACCATAGCAACAGTAGGTTGACAGTATAATTTGTGCCTCACAGTATTTGCAGATTTATTGTTTTCAAGTTTAGAGAGAAATAAAACAAGAGACATGTAGATTCAGCTCACTTTATTTACCTTTAAACTAATAAAAAATCCCTTAAAAGTGATCCTGGGACCTTTAGAAGTTCTATGAATGCATAGATACCTGCCATTGACTGAAATTCTAAATCTTGACTGAAATGTGTTTACAAAATTAATGTAAGCAGATATCTTAACTATTCGTGCTTAGTAGAAGACTGAACAAAATTCTACATGTCTTTTTCAATTTCCCTAAAATTTTGTTAAATCTGCAATTATGTACAATCCAGCTAATTGAAATTAATATTTAGTGTTCATCAAAGCTGTTTCACAGCAGCAAAAAATCAATCAGGGAAATAAAGTTCTAAACAATGTAGAAAAAGATAAATATAATCAGAACAGCAGTCTAAATGTATGATATCAATATTCAACTCTATCTGCACTGTGCTGGAAGGAAAAGATACACCAAGAAAATTTATATTGATCACTCTGGTGATGCGAATACCACCTGCATCTGATTTGAATATGGGTTGTATTCTGTTCCCCAGTATTAAGGATGGTATTTAATTCAGAACTCCATGTTGTAAATATACAGCAGCCATTTTGTCCTAATTAAGGAATGTCTTAATACACAATATTATCATTTTCTAGAGGATCTTTATACATTAAACTAAAGCACATGATTGATTAAATTAAAGGTTAGTAATGGATAAAAAAAAGTCATAATTTTCAAGGCTTGGTACTACGTAAAAAACAAAAAGACCACAAAATTCTACTTACTAAAGCAGCTAATCTTGCCTGCAAGTTTAGGGTCACAAGCCCATAATATGTGCAAAGAAATGCAATACAAGGAACCATGCAAAATACAGTAAAATGATACAGGAAAAATGTCAAATCTAGAAAAAAAATGCTTTTATAAATACATCAAAATCAACTGTATACATAAATTGTAGGTCTAGCATTAGTTGTACCATATAGCAGAGCCAGCACTCTTAAGTTCAATGCTTCCAAATCTGCGCAGGTAAGTCATGCCATCTTTGGTTGACTGCAGTACCAGGAAGGATGGGAATGAGAAGGAGGGCAAGAGTTTCTGAAACATGGTGTCAACTTTCACTTGGCAGCTGGGCCTCAATGTCCACTCGGCAAATTGGGCACTTCTTATTGGTAATCAACCATTGGTCAACACATACTTGGTGGAAAAGATGCATACATGGAAGACGCCTAACGTTGGCAAAAAAGAGAAAGCAAAAATTAATTTAATGATGACTACATGTGAAATTTATTTTTAAACAAATTATAAATGCAATAAGTCAGCATTTTTAAATTAGTGGGTTTCAAAAAAAAAAAGAAGGCATAACCAGACCTCCTCTTCTTTTGAAAAAACAAACAAACAAACAAACAAACACCCTAAGGAGTTACATGTAAATTAAATTAGTACTCTCTCAATATAATGCATAAGTGACCAAGATAATTAAGTATCGCAGCTAAGGAAACAAATTATATAAGATCATAAAAACCATAAAACAAAAATTGCATTGGCAATTATTACAGTTTTGGTTTTTTGTATGAGTGACCAATGTACTATATTGTCTCATTTAATGGCCTTTCAAAAACATTGGGTCTTAGCTATTTTGTTCTCATTAAAGAATGTCTTAATATAAAATTATTTTCTGCCTAGAGGATCTTTATACCCCTTACTTAAATACATGATTCACTGGAGTCAATAATATTGTTTTTATGGAATAACTTTATATCTACTTAATACTAAACTACTGTTTCATAGGTAGGTTAAAAAAAATGTTCACTTTTGGACATCATACCAAATTATTAATTACAAATTGGGAAAGAAAGCTTCCAGATGACATAGGACAACATTAAATCTAAGTGTAAGAATGGGATAAAGGTTACTAATTCAAATGTCCATTTCTACTTCTATTATCCTTCATACCTTCAAATTTCCTTACATTTTGTAAAAATAGTAGGTTAAAAATAGGTACTCCATGGCTGGGCAAGGTGGTGTACACCTGTGAACCCAGCAGCTTGGGAGGCTAAAGATAGGAGAAGCGCAAGTTCAAAGCTAGCCTCAGCAACACCAAGGTGCTAAGCAACTCAGTGAGACCCTGTCTCTAAATAAAATACAAAGTAGGGCTGGGGATGTGGCTCAGTGGTTGAGTGCCCCTGAGTTCAATCCTGGTACCAACCCAAAAAAAAAAAAACAAACAGGTGCTCCAATTGCTCCTTGAACAGTTACCAATACTATAAGCAATTAACTTTCATATCTATACACCTTCATTGGAAATAGTGTACAAAAAAACCTTACTTATTGTGTGATACAGTAGACAATAGTTCATTGTTTTTTTTCCTCTCAGTTGAAGAGGTATGATAAACAGACTTTATGCTATATGATTCGGTTATATGTGTTGAAGAACCTGTTTTGTATGACATTATATTACAGGTTGATAAAACAGAATAAGAATAAAACAATTACTTCAGAGATTATACAATGAATATATGTATAAGTAATACTGGGTTAGCAAAAGTTGAGAAGGGTGTAATCCTTTGAGTTAAGAAGAAATTCTAGGGGGGAAAAAAATCAATTTTTAAAAGATTATAAAGCAAGCACCATAGAACTAATGTTAGCCCCTCTTTAAACTATAGAGAAAATATTACTAAGTCTCAAAACCTTCTCATTTCTTCAAGATTTTCAGAAGACAATTCTGACCATAAAATTTCTCCAGCCAAACTTTGGTGCATCCCTAAAATATATTTCCCACCCCCACCCTTTTGTTGGTAATATAAAGCCTTTAATTTCTTTGATTCACTATAAGAAATCAGTCAGAAGGTAATAACAGAGTATGCCAGGAGTAACCTAAATTTAATTTTTTTAAAATAAAATCCCTTGTACATTTTGACGTAGATTCTAAAAAATTAATATCTAGTTACCTCACATCTTCACCTTCCTCTAAAATAGACAAACAGATAGTACACTTTTCCTCTGTGTCTTCCTCAGTCCCTTCTTCCCCATCTTGTTTGCAGTGCAGTTTCCTCTGTGAGAACCAATCAGTTGTTACCTTATTAGCAGAGATGACATTATTGAACAACTGAGTAAAGTCTGCATTTATTTAAAAACAAAACAAAACAATACCACATATTCACATACAACTTATTTCCCAGGTAAAATTTTCATAAATTAACATATGCATTAAGTGACTATCAATTATTCTTTTAAGACCTTCTACATATAATCAGCATCAAAAGCAAAATCAAATTAACAGAAATTCGTTAAGTCTGAAATCTAATATTTTTAATCCACAATGAGAATGATACACCACATAAAATCTATTTCAATCCTACCATGAGCAGAGGTAAAGAAATTTTCATTTACTAACAAATGTTTCAAATAACATCCATATAAATTAAAGTTAATTATATAATTTAGCTTAGATGGCTGAAATGACTTAAATTGAAGAGTAATACTTCATTGACACTCTTGGAAAACATGAAAAGGGAAAAAAAAACAGTAATTTTCACAATTTATTATTACTTTATAACATAAAGCATTGTTTGTTGTTTATTGTAAGAAATTTATTTGATATTTCTACTCTGTAATTTACAGCTATAATACTACAAACAAAGGTTGGAGGGTAGAGTATAAGAAATACAGATAATTAAATGTCCATCAAAATGAATGGCTAATTTAAAAAATTATTATACCATATGATGAAATTTTATGTTAGTAAAAAGAATATGGGTTGGGGCTGAGGTCAGGGCTCAGTGGTAGAACACTTGTCTTGCATGTGTGAGACCCTGAGTTCGATCCTCAGCACCACATAAAAATATAAATAAATAAAATAAAGGTACTGTGTCCATGTACAACTAAAAAAATTTTTTTAAAAAAAGAAGAATATGGGTGGATCTGTGAGCACTAACATTCAATGAATGGCAATATGCAAACCGTGCCTATCATTCCTCTTGCATTCTCTTTCAAAATGGAGGAAAAATACATACATATGTATATTACAATGAAATGTACAAAAATATCTAGGAGAATATCTATGAAATCTTATGATTTCATTTCTGGGAAGAAAGACTAAGGTACACAAGGTAAGAAACTGCAGAGTGTATGTTTTCAGTTTACATTTTTTTTAACCATATGTATGTAATCGTTTTAATAATCAATAATGTAGCTTTTTGACTCTACAAATTCAAAGAAGGTCTATAATACTAAATTTTATGTGATTCAATAACATTCTAGAAGTCTCACAGAATAAATCCTTACCTTTTTGTATTTATGTGGATATGTACACCTTTCAATTGTCCCCTGGGATGCTCCACGATTGACATTTCCTAATCTTTCTTCCAAATGAATCAGTTCCTAAAAATGAAGGAAACTAGTATTAAAAGCCAGGATAATTATTCTTTGAATAATATGTATTATCAATCTTACAAAAGTAATAAACTTCCATATTTATAAATCTATAATACAAATACAATTTAAAAAATGACAAGACAAATAATTTATATATAAAATAGCTTTTTATGTATCTTTTCTCATTCAACTGAGATAGATATATATATATATATATATATATATAATACACACACACACACCTCATATGTATATATATTATATCCTTATATATAAGGATATATATTAGGACACCAATATTACCAGCTGGTACTATAAATCTATGAATGTATACATGTAGAAAATGAAATCACTCTATTAAATTAAGAAAACATATAAATTGGTAATTCTAAATCATACCACTTTCAACCTTCCAAACTGAAACACCACAAACTTTAAACAATATTTAAATGATTTGTTCTTCCTGAAAGTTCAAATGAGAAGAAATTTAGCTACAAAGTAAATTACTTAGGTTTCTTTTTCTCGGCAATGTTTTTCTAAAAATTAAGCTCATTCTAAAGCATTAAGCACTTCCACTTAATAGTACAGCTCTTTATTCTGATATTTATTATGAATTTAATGGATTTTTTAAAAGTCTTTCATATTAACTATTTTCATCAACTTTTTTTCTAAATACTTGGGAAACTTCTGAAACTAAGATAAACTTTGCTTATATATATTTCTGCAACCCCCTAATATCAAAAAAATCAGACCACTGCAGCAGTCTTATACAACTTCGATTATTAATTGTGTATGTATGCTTTCTCTGCACTAAAGGTACTATATAAAATATCTTCATCTATTTTACTGCATACCTCAAAATTTCCCCTGAAAGGACCTCTGAATGAAGTTCCATCCAATCCTGATGATATGTAACGGATATGAGGATAGCCTGCCATGTCAGGAACCTATTTTAATACAAGGGATAGGCTAAATCAATTAAGAATAGATTCGTGTTTCACTGTTAATACTGAATAATTCAAGACAAGTTCTGCATTTAACTCATAAAATTCAGCTTTAATAAGTACACATAACACCAGCTAAGCATTCTGTAATAAGATTAGGATCCTCTAAAAATACAATCTCATAAAATAACTTATAGTCAGAAGAAATATAAGAAACATAGCTGTTTCAAGAGATTAACAAGTTTCTTCTACTTGATTACACTAAAAATTCTATATTAGAGCTGGGTGTGCTGGTTCAAGCCCACCTTCCCAGCTACTCAGAAGGCTGAGGCGGGGGATTGCTTGATCCTAGAAGTTCAAGCCAGCCAGGGCAACACAGCAAGACACTGTCTCAAAATAAAGAAAAAAAAAGAACTCTATGTAGAAAATATTCAAACTTAAGCTTAATGCTCTTAGTAGCATAAAATGGAATAAAATTTTCATAAGATCTTCCAACTTCAGAAAGCTTTGTTAAACAGTATTAAAAATACATAGAAATACTGGGCATGACTGACACGACCGTAACCCCCAGACACTCAGGAGGCCGAGGTAGGAGTATCGCAATTTCAAGGCCAGCCTTAGCAACTTACCAACTAGGCCCTAAGCAACTTAGCAAGAGCCTGTCTCAAAGTAAAAAATAAAAAGGGTGGGGATGTAGCTCAATGGTTAAGTACACCCTTAGGTTCAATCCCCGCATGCTCCCTCCCCCAAATGTATAATAGATATATAGAATGTTCCCACAAAATTTAACTCCAAGATAAATTTTATTTCCCTCACTTCCTCTAAGTTCCTGACCAAAGGAATCATATCCCCTTCTCTCCACCTTTTTGTCTTGTTTCTGTCCATGAAAGTATTAATTTTTTGTTAGAATCATTTGTAGATTTCATTATTTGTGAATTGGCCTACAATCTAAAAACTTACTTATGACCCCAAATCAACACTTGAGCTTCAGAGTCATTTGTAGACATGCTCTACCTTCCTGTTGCAGTTCAATTACAAACAAGTATCTTTCTTGTAGTCTATTTAGTATCATGCTTTTCATATTTTTGTTCCTTTTGTTCATGATTTCATTGTTTAATGGCACCCAAGCATAGTGTTCCAGTGCTATCTATAGTGTTCCAAAACAAAGAACCTGTGATATGACTTATGGAGAAAACATGTATTAAGTAAGTTTTGCTCAGACATTATTAGTTTTAGTGTTATTGGCTAAGCAACTCAATGTTAATGAACCGACAATATTAAATAAATTGTCTTTAAACAAAAACACACATAAAACAAGGTTATATACAGATCAGCTGTCAACTGATCAGGCATGGTGGCACATGCCTATAATCCCTGTCACTAAGAAGATCACAAATATGAAGTCAGTCTCAGCAACTTCACAAGATCCTGTCTCAAAATAAAAATAAAAAGAGCTAGAGATGTAACTCAGTAGTCAAGTACCCCCAGTTTCAATCTCTAGTACCAAAAAAAAAAAAAAAAGGCTAACTATATTAGGAAAGGGAGATTATGGAATACACCACTACACTTCCATCTTCATAAACAAACCTCCAACATGGCTTCCATTCTCCCCAACCTGGATTATGCTTAATTAACTATTCTTCAATTCTCTCTTTGAAAGAACAAGCACCCTCTCTAATTAATTTGTTTCTCCAAACTTAAATTTTCTCCTTAATACTGGAATTATTATCAATCCTATTTCTCATTTTCCCTTCACAGGCAAGATATAAATCAAGTGGTCAATATTCACGGTCTTCAAATTTCCACCATTCTTAACAGTAATATATGAAATGCCCCAAGAGTTGGGAGTGTATCTCAGTGGTAGAGCACTTGCCTAGCATGCAAGAGGCCCTGGGTTCAATCCCATAGAGTAAGGAAGAAGAAAAGAAAGAAACGGGGGGAAAATGCCTCATCTCCATTTCTGACCATTATTTAAACCACTCTGACAAAAGCCACCAATAAATGCATTCAACACTTTCCAAACTTTTTTTTAATAATGAGACACTAATGGTATATCTCATTATATATAAGAGCATAATATATGGTCAATATTAATTTCTGACATTATTCTAACTTTTTCAACATTCTGAGCCAATTCTCAGTATCATTTGTAGTATAATATTTTCATTTAAATATCTATATTGTATTCTCCATTCCACTCTCTTGTCATTTACTATACCTTTTCCCTCAAAATCTAATCCTCTTCCTTATATTCATTACCACTAGATTTGCCAGATCACAAACATGTCCTTAATCCAGATACTTGTAGAGGTCCAGACCATAAACTTAATTTTCCATTGGACATTCAGCCTTCACAGTTATCTCAGATTCAATATGTCCAAGACCTATTTCACTGAACTACTAATCCAAACCATCTACTCTTTTCCAATACAGTGCACATTACTATATACCTTTTTACTCAAGCTAGAAATCTGGTAATCACGGGTTGGGGATGTGGTTCAAGTGGTAGCGTGCTCGCCTAGCACGTGTGAGGCAATGGGTTTGATTCTCAGAACCACATAGAAAAAAATAAAGATATTGTGTTCACCTAAAACTAAAAATAAATAAATAAATATGTTTTTAAAAAGAAATTTGGTAATCAGCCTAAGTATCATTCAAATGTGGCCTATCATTTTTATGATAACTGCCATTGCTTTTGTTCAGGCATTTATCAACATTTACCTCTTCTACAAAAAGCCCACATTAGTTTCCTTCTCCCTGCCTGTAAAATCTATTTTTCATTTAACTCATGAGGTGTGGTTTTTCTAACTACCATCTAATTAAATCACTCTAAATTATAAACATTAACAAGACTCTCCCCCTTCAACAGTTCCTAAGTTCTAGTTTCTCTTTATTCTTTTCTTTTCTAGCACTGGGGATGCAACCAAGGCCTCAGCCCCGCAGCCTACAGTTTAATTTTTCAGGGTTTCTATCCTCACCCCTGAGATCCAAAAAAACACCAACTTACTTGGAGTTCCTAGGGCTTATACTGTTTGATAACTCTTTACATGATGCAACCTCTTCAGCAGTACCATGCCAAAGTCCATAGCCTGGTTAGCAGTCTCATGTACAATAAGCTTCTCTGAAACCTCTACAGAATCTATTCCTTCACCAAGATAAAATCACTCCCCTTTCTGTACCACATCTATAACTGGTATGTATTACAAAGAGCAAACTCAATAAATATTTGCTAAACTTTTTTTAGCACACAACTTATCAACAAAACCTAAATCAGAAGTAGAGAGAAGTATTGTTCTTCCAGAGATTAGAGAAGGAAAAAAAAAAAGTGTAAATGCAGCAGAACAGAGTCATTACCACTCATGGCAGGTTAACTAAAGCACACATCCTAGTGACAGTAGATCATGATTTTACTGATAGCTAAAAGCAAACCCACTTTTTAGAATTTTTTATTTTTTTTATTTTTTGTGGTGCTGAGGATTGAACCCAGGGCCTTGTGCATGCAAGGGAAGCACTCTACCAACTGAACTACATTTCCAGCCCCAAAAACCACTTTTTATATTTAATTTGTATATTAAGAGTACAATGCACATTTTAAACACAAATTTTAGCATATCTAATAACTTTTTATAGCACAATTTCATCTAGAATCATTCTCAAATTCTACTAAAACATAAATAACAATATATTAAAAAATTTTTCAAAATATTTAGTTTAGAAGAACATGTCAGAATTTTGAAAAATTTCCATTTTACCATTAAAGGAAGAGCTCCTAATTGTAAGTGATGAAGTCGAGGAGGTGCATGGTAATGGGCCAAATGAGGATGCAATGCACCAGGTGTATAAGTAGCTGCAGTCACTCCAGCTTCAATTCCCAATTCCCTGACAAAGGACACAAACAGTTAGTCTTTTTCTAATCAACAGAAATGAGTGAATACATTTACATTTTAAAAATAATCTAAAGTTTCTTAACTAATAAAGGCCAGAAAAAAGATAATTTAGCCCCAGAAATATTACCAATAATTTCAAATTCGTTATAGAAATGAAAATTCAAAAACTCAATTTTGTGACCACCATGAGAAGCAAAGCATCTGTACTTGGTTTGACATCTTACAAAGTAAGATGGCTCCTGGGGTCCCTTCCAATCCAAAAACCGGATTCTGTTGAAGGAGCATACAAAACAGTTTACTTTTTTGGTTTATCTGAATGCTACAGATGCTCCTGGGGCTTTTGTTTGTTGGATTATCATCTCTGGGTTGTTGGCATCAAAGATAATTAGAATAGCAAACTCTTCTATACCTTATAAAACAAGAGTAAACAAATTTTAGAGTAAAAATTTAACATTCTAAATCTTCATTATTTAGTCTAATTTATGTTCTGCTTCTAAAAGTTTTTGTTATTAATCATGATCTCAATGACTGCCTATACTAAATGGATTCAGAAGAAAAATTTACTGCAAATCTACTTCCATTTCTTTAGGAAAGACCTTAAGCCTAGGGAAATGCAGGTTGGATTCTCCCTTGGAAGAAGCTGGGGATATTAGAGCAAATCTGAGTACAAAGGTAAGGAATAAAGAAATTGGGGAAAGTAGGATGTAATTATGTAGTTAACCTTGGTGACAGGCACTCATGAAAAAACAAAGAAAGCTCTACTCCTTTCATTTACATGTGATAATCAAAATAGTCAAACTATACAAAGAGAAAGCCAGAGGCTTCGGATGGAGAGAGGAAGGTAGATGGAGAAAATGGGTTTGTGCCTTGGTCAACAGGTACAAACTCAGGACTAAGTGCTGGCATTCTATTGCATAGCATGGCAACTACAGTTAAAAATAGCACACTATATATTTCAAAATTGCTAAAAGAGAGGGTCTGAAATGTTCTCACCACAAAAAATGGCATTTGAGGTAATGGATGGGCTAATTAATTAGCCTGATCTGATCATTCTGCAATGCATACGTTATTAAAACATTACACAGTCCATAAACATACACAATTATTTTGTCTATTAAGAATTAAATAAAACATTAAGCAAACAAAAAAACTTTACTCCTGCTTGTGATAGTTCCTTGCCCCAGACCTCAAGCTCTTATTCTTTCCTCTTTAGGACTCCACTCCCATAGGGGCAGTGCCTCACAACTAAACTTAAATCCTGTTTTCCCCACACTACCCTTCTAACATGGCATTCCTCTACAAAACATCTTTTCCCATAGCTTTACCACAAGCTGCCAGGCATATCTTTGAAATAAACAAGATACTAACCAGGCAGATCTCTCTGGAGCCTGACGAGGATGTGAGGACATAGTTTGAGGCACATGAATATGATGCCCATGACCATAATTTGGGTGCATCCTGTGTGGATGGGGTGGGGGGCGTTCATGTGCCCGCCTGGAAACACAGAACACAAAAAGACCACTGGAAATAATTGAATAATTGGTTACTTCTTAATATAGAAAAAAATTCTACTATTCATATTTGAACATTTATAGATCAGTCATAAAATTTATAGCAATAAATTATAAACTTGATATAAAATTATTTAATAATAAGTCAAGAAACCATAATCTCCTCCACAAATTCTACCTCCTCATTTATTCCCATACCTCCAATTCAAATATTCCAGGAAAAGGGCAATTTTATTATCTTGTAAACCTATTTTACAGCATGTATTTTAACTGGGAGAACAATAGGAATTGGATGGAAACAAAATTTTTAAAAATTATCCCAGCAATTGTTGTATGCACAAACTATTTTATAATAAGCATAAAGCAAGAAAAAAGAAACTTTTATTTTGCTTCACTTACATTATAAAACATTCAACCACTTTAATGGATAAAATCTTAAGAGAGAAGTTATTAACCTCGTGTATTTTTTTTTCTAAAACACATTGTGTTTAAGAAACATTTTCTAAAACACATCTTCTAAAACACATTGAAATTTAGATCACTATATTCTGCATCTCAGTTACTGTATTTTCACTTCCTATCAAATTGACAAATACAAATGAACATAAATTCTTTTTTTTTTTTTAAAGAGAGAGTGAGAGAGAGAGAGAGAATTTTTTTTTTTAATATTTATTTTTCAGTTCTCGGTGGACACAACATCTTTGTTGGTATGTGGTGCTGAGGATCGAACCCGGGCCTCACGCATGCCAGGGGAGCGCGCTACCGCTTGAGCCACATCCCCAGCCCCTGAACATAAATTCTTAAACAAAGGACACTCATTTAAAAAAAAGAGTTCATTCTCAGGATTCATCTTTATAGTGTATTTCAAAAACAATCTCTAACATACTTGCAAATTTTCAATGTTTACTCTTAATGCATTCAAATAATTCTCTAGGTCCTGGAGGATATAACTGTTAAGTGAGCAATTTTCTACATCAAGGGTTATATTACAATAACAGCAATACTGTTATTGTAATATAAATTCTGGATAACATCTTAAATTATTGAACCAAAGGAAGAACTCACATGAATGCTAACCCCCTGGATAGATTAAGAGCTTTATAAATATTTTTTATATAAAGGAACAAATGGTATTTTTTTTTTTTTTTTTTTGGTTCTAGAAGCCATATGGTCTCAACTAGGCCTTCATTGTGTGAAGGCTGCCATAGACAATATATAAATGAACAAATGTAGCTATTTTTCAATAAAATCTTATTTATGAAAACAGGCAGGGAAAAGTAAATCAATAGAGTTTGCTGTCCTGAAATTAGAAACTCAGATTCAGAATTCTCAAAAGAAAAGCAGTTCATTATAGTCTTTTCATTAATTCTCAAAGTCTTAACTTTATATAAAAGATTTATAAATTTCTATAAGAAATTTATAGATTTATAAAGAAGACTTTTTCAATATAGATTTTTTAAAATTTTTATTTTTTTCTTCTCTTCCACATATAATAAATCAAATTAAATTTTTGATATCTTTAGATCTTGTTCCTATGGATCAATTTTAACATCAGCCTTTTACCATGATATATTAGAGAAACAGACAAATTAGAGATTGGCCTGCTTAAAGAATGACGAGTCATAAACTGAAAGTGGTTTGATTTCATTCAGTAAGACTGATATATAAAGTCATTTTTTTTGTCAATAAATAAAATTCAGGATAAAGCAGAGAAAGATTACTATTGGTAAAAAAATTAATTCCTGGGCTGGTGATGCAGCTCAGTGATATTGCACTTTGCAAGGTCCTGGGTTCAATCTCCAGAAACTAAAAAAAAAAAAAGACCAAAAAGAATTAATTTCCTAATGAAATGAGGATTTAACATAATTATATCATTTCTAAAGATTTCATAGTTTAGGCAGGAATGTAACTCAGTGATAGAGTTACTTGCCTAACAGTTATAAGACCCTGGTTTTGATTCTCAGCTCCATGGGGGAAATTTTTCATAGTTTTAAAGACCAATGGAGGAAAAGCAAACATGATTTTTTTAAAAACATAGAACATACGTTGGATGCTGCATCATTCTCCTCCTTTGAACTTCCATCCTCTGCATCACTTCATGAGGATGCAATCTCTGTGCTGGAGGTGCTGTAGCTGGAATATGGTGTGAAATTGGTTGGTGTGTAGGAGGAAGATGCTGAGGGATGGGCGCAGCTGTACTGGCTAAATGAGTTGGGGGTGGGGGTGCCACAGGATGAGATGTTGCATGAGAAGATATTTGAGAATGGAAAGCATGTACAGGATGAGGAATAACATAATCCACTTGAGGTGGAGGCTGCGTCTGAGGAGGAGGGTTTCCATGAGAATGAGGACAAGCAGAAGCTTGATGGTGAAGTGGTCTTGTCAAAGAAGCATCTGCAAGAAAAACATTCAGGTATGTTACAAAAGCACTATGAAGAAGAACTTGCATTGCTATTTTATGAACACATTAACACATAGCTAATTTTTCTGAATATTTTTATCAGAGGCCAAGTCTATTATTCATGCAACAGACTTTTATCTTCATGAATACTTTATCAGTCACTTAAGTCTATTCACAAAATAGACTGTTTTCATCTTTGAATAATCTTGGATATCTTCTCATGTCAATACATACATAGGGTTTTTCTTTCTTTTTAATAGTACTGGGGATGAAACCCAATGCCCCGTACATGTTGAGCAAGTTGCTCTACCACCGAGCTACCTCCCCAGGCCTTTTACTTGGATAGTGTCCCCATAAATTTGTGAGGCTCTCTTCAAACTTTCACTCTTCCTGCCTCAGCCTCCTGAGCAATTATTACAGGCATGCACCACTATGCTTGTCCATATAATTTTACTTTCATTCACAGCTCTGATACACTAATCACAGGAATATATCAAAACTTTCTGAAGAAATCCCATTGATGAAAACTGGAAGGACCAGAATACTGCAGTAGGCCTCTATGTGTGTTCATTCATCTTGTGCTCACTCTTTCATATATAGGTTCGTATACATACAAATGCGCTCACAGACCATTTTTATAGCATAAAATACTGTAAGCAGTGATGGGTCTGAGAAAATATCAAATTCAGATGCCTGCTGACAAAATATCACTCCTTAAGGTTACACAATTAATATATTCATCAACCACAGGAATGTATTACTATCTCTGCACTATCATTAAATTTTTAAATAAATGTGAATCTAAGAAAAATCTTTTATGGACCACTTACATTTCTTCTTCTCAGCTTTATGTATACATATATTCTTAGTCTTTGGTTTTATTCACCCTTTCTTAGTCCATTTATTAGTATTCTCTGTATGTATGAAAGCTTTGTCAGAAAGAGTGTAAACATTTTTTACAAACTACCTTTTACTTTTTTTTGCCACACACAAATTTTTTGGTTTTCCATAGTCAAATTGTGGGATTGGGAAATAGCTTAGTGACAGATATGCACTCGCCTAA